ATGGTAAGATAGCGCGAGACAAGTAAACACAGGCACGTGCGATGATCCGTGGCTTGGCTGCTCCACCCACCGTATGATGTATATGCAAATTTACAAGCCCGAATCTGGCCAGTAATGTGAGGGCGCTCACACTGATGGCAAGGCTGTTGGGATTTCGCGGTCACATGACTTTCATGTTCACCACTTGTTTACGTAATTTATATTTAATTTTCAAGAATTTTTCATCAGAATCACAACAGACTGCAAGCAAGTCTACTTTCACCCAATTGTATCATAGTTTAACAACACAACCTGTTTTATACAGTCAAACCTGTGTATAGTTTTCACCCAAGAGATTTCATTAAAATGTTTATCATATACAGGTGGTCTTTATATGAAGTTGGATTATTTTTATGAATTGCTAACTTATATATTTGTACAGAAAATAATTTAGATGGTATTTGAGTTGATCAAAATCAATAAATTTGACTTAAATTAAAAATTGTTAGTCATTAATTTGGTCTCTAAACAATGGCCGTTTTTCAAAAATAACCTTGATGAGATGGTCTTTATACACAGGTATAAATTTGTCTGTATAATTTTTTTTTGCATTCTTCAATATATCTTGAAATAAATCTTAATTTAGGAGACAACAGACAAAATTTTAGTCAATTTTCAGTTTTTACACATAAAATCTTCTGAAGGGGAGTGCAGACAATAAAGGGGACTATAATATGAATTTGTGATGAAAAAAGAAGCTGGTGCAATGAAGTTAATTTGTATTGTATCAAAGACACATGAAAACATTTTTTATATTGTATACAAAATCATTAAAATCTGACTTTGTTTGAACAGACATATCTCTGTTATTTACTCAATTGTATAAGTAACTAATAAAGCAAATTATACAATAAGTGGGTTTATTTGGAGCAACATTCTGATTTAAAATAGTAACCCATTACCAAATAATTGATGAACGTAATTCCTTTCCACAGCTGGTGATGAGCGTATCTGTTGTTGTGAGCAGTGTGGTCGGTATGGATTAGCTTCTGAATTCTGTAAATCTGGTCGATTCTGCAGTCAGTCATGCGTGGGAGCATTTGCTAACAAGTAAGTCCATGTAACCATCATTTCTATGTGTGTTATACATATTTTTGAATGTACATTTTAATGGAGGCATAGAGTTGAGTTTATTTTATTTGTATTTTATGAGGCAAGCTGACAGCTCAATACCTTGTTCAGCGAACTATAAAAAAGCATCCGATTTGGGTCTCGTACTTTTCAAATCTAGGCACGTACTCCAGAGCTTGCCCAAACCCTTGACATTCGCTGCACTTCTAGACTCTAAGGATATTGTAATTTCAGGATTTTCAGAAAAATCTGTCACATAAAATTAAAGCAGTTTACAGTAGATGAATAAGTCTACAGCTCCAGATATACTGACTTATTTTTGGTACTGAAATGTTTTTCGTGAGCATTCTTTTTTAAAATGACACACTTCGACCAAAAACCATCATTTTTCTTTTATTTTCACCCGCCATCAAATTAAAATTGCAGACAAGGTATTGTAAAGAAAGGAACTGAGAAGAAACCTATTCATATCATACAGTTGAAGAAAGCTAAGAAAAGAAAAATAGGACAAAAAGGAGAAGACGAGGTTAGTTGCAATTCAACTTATTGAAGCACAGCCCTGCAATCCCCTGGATTACACCAAGGCATCATGGGAAATATTATTTGAATTTATCGCCTATCATTATAGTATGTATAAAAACAATACCAAAGATGTCAATTCTATGTGCTAACATCATAAGTACACCATTGTGCGTCTTGATAGAGCAATTTGGATTATAGCTTTGATTTGATCAAACCTTTGACAGTTATGATGTCTTGTGTAGCTGTTTAAAATATGCCTTCTCATTAAGATTTATGCGATAATTGTACTTGATTCTTGTACTACTAGTTAACCAACAACGATATCATATTCTATAAATATACAGGATTGCATGTGATAGAAAAAAAATGTCCTCCTTCAATTATCTTATTATCAAAGAGAGCCATTTTGCATGGCATCTCGACCAAATACTTGACTATGGAGTGCGATTTGCATATATGATCGCCATCTTTTCTTTTATACACAATTGCAGTTCAAATCCTGTAAATTGTGATTTGATGGAACAAAATTTTAACTACCACCAGTGAAATGTTTCCCTCCTGGAAATGTAAAATTGCTTTTGTTACAGATGACATCATCAGAGCAATATGTCATGTGACTAATAATGACGTTCACTTTAAGCAAACAAATTAGCGAACAAAGACTAGCGACGTATTTATCATTTTTGTGGTTTAGAAATAATTTCTCAAAGGGTCAGTTGGACAATAAACTTCTTTGGGATTCACAAGAAATCACTGAAAAGTTACAGCAGTGTATTAAATGTATTTGGGATTGAAAGTGTCTATATTGTCTACTCAAGTTGTCCTAAATTGATTTCTTTTATGTGCTGTATCATGTTCTATGATTACGTCAGTTTTGTTGTTAGTAAAATCTTGTAAACGTGACAAACGCTATTACCGTAAAATCTGTATTAGAATTTATTCTGAACAATTGAAAACCAAAATTTCAACCATTCCTCATATGTGTAACCGTTCTCTGTTGCATTGTATCATTTTAATAAAAGCCGCGCTTTTTAATACAGATTTTACAGTAATGTGTTTTATAGTATTTTATATTACTGTAAAATCTGCATTAGAAATCGCAGCAACTATTAAAATTGTACAATGTGGGAATATGATGGGACTTCTATTAGAGCATCTACACACCAGAATTGGTGAATTTTTGGTTCTCAATTATTCAAAAAGAATGGCTTCAACTTCTATTAGGAATGCGGTTTCAAATACAGATTTTAAGTTAGTGTTCTGGAGCGGAGGGAGGGAGGAAGTTGAAATTAACCACCAACTACATTTTAAGTTCGACCTGTTGCTGTTTTAGGAGCAGTTCCTAACTCGACATCAATCCTTCAAAATGCAGCTATGCAGCTGCTGTTATGGGGGGGGGGTAGCTGGTACAGTTTTACGGGAAATAAAAAGGGCTTTTTACAATTTACAAGGAAAAAAAGATGTTTTTACAGTTTACAGTGAAAATTGAATGTTTACAGTTTACAGAGAAAATAAAGGTTATTTTACATTTTACAGAAAATTAAAAAAGAAAACATAAAAAAATGTTGTACGTACCGAAAAAAATGACACATTTTTACAGTGTACGAAAAAAATATTTCATTGATTACGTTGTACGTCTAGCCTGTGATTACAGAATTACGGAATTTATTTTTTCAATTTTCGTTGTACAAACAAAAAAATATTGTAATTACGTTGAACTCTGATAATGTAGTGATGTAAGGGGCCTGTCATCAGTAGGGTAAACCTGTCTCAGGACGGTCTCTGTTATGGCTAACTTTATCAACATGTTTGTTCAGGGTCAAGTTGTGAAAATGCATTTCTGTTCTCTGTGGGACCCACATGGAACACATTGTGCTACCATTTAATCAATTGAATAAATAAAAACTGTAGATAATATTCATAATACAGAGACTGGCTTTGAAAGGCTTAAAGGGTAGTACCTCAATCCCCGGTATAAATAAACTGAAAAATAATATTACAACCGGGTACTTTAAATTCATACTTTGACAGGTCAGATATAATATCAAATAAGTCATCCTGTTGATATCTTATCAAACGCTAAGTAGAGCAAGGTTACTTCAGAACATCAACAAGAAAATTATAAATGTGAAAACATTGAATCGGAAAATTGTTTGCAACAAAGGATGAATGTATATCGTCTTTGAAATTGTATACCAATATGGAAATTGAAGAAACTGTGTCCGGTGTTGACTTTGTCTAAAAATAATATGTGATATAGGCTATTATATTCATGTATGTCAAGCGCCCTCAGACAAGGATATGAAGAATCGTGTCAACCACCTCATAACTCTGGATAAGGTTTCCTTCATGAATTCCTATGACCTTTCACCTAACCTGATTTCTACAAGACTCCAAAATGTATTGTACTCAACAATACCGGGGTTGGTACCATGCTGAATTTATGAGGGAAGACAGGAGGGATGGTTGGCCTGCAGGGCTGAGTTTTTGAGGG